TCAGTCGCTCCGCCTATACTGCTTGCTCCGTTGTTCCGCTCTGCCGCTTGCCCCGCTGCTCCGCTTAGTCACCCCGTCTCTGACGCTTTGTGACATTGATGTCAAATATGGTAGGATTCCAAAAAGGTTGAGTGGTGTTCTCCTTCCAAACTTCAGATTATGCACTGCAGTGCATCCATTTTTGATATCCTTTCGAATGATCCGGTCTACATTTTTTGCTGGATATTCCAAATCCGGGCCTCCAGCGTCGCTTGAGCGCAATTTTTCATTGAAAATTTTTATACTGTTGTGTGTCAACAGGAATGATATTACTACCATAATATTTCAAGTATATACATGTACATTAATAGAGGAAATTTTGAACAATACATGTATGTACAGACTATATATGGAGGCCAAGTTGCAAGTAGTATTTTGAACATCATATTGCTGTCATTGAGGACTTGTGCGACAATGGATGTCAATGGGGAACTTGAAGGGATTTGAAGAGCATATTGAAGTATTGAACTTGAGGCTTAAGGGCATGACTTGTTGAGGGAAATAAGGGCACAGCGCAGCGCAACACATCTGCAAAACCTGGAAATTCGGCTAAGGACTGAAAGCAGCTGAGAGCAGTTCCCAGCATTGAAAGCACCCAGAGCATAATGCTTTCGGTGGGATCTGCTTTCAATCCTTAGCCGAATTTCCAGGTTTTGCAGATGCAGGTGGGCAAGAGAAGAAGGACAACATGGGGGAGGAAAGAAGAGCTACAAAAAGGAAAGGAAAAAGACGCGATGAACTTATATAAAATTTCTGATGGGGGCCAATTCTGTCCGGTTGCCATATGGCGTGTGCGCAGCCACTATCTGCAGTTTGGAACAAGAGCAAATACAGGTAGATTTAGGAGCAAGAGCATCTCTCAGTCCATACACAGAGCAAATTTATGTATATAGATGCAAGAAAGATTGACTTTGAATAGATATCATCTCATTCATTTGGATTAACAAGCATAAAACCATCATGATAGTATCAAACCATTCCTAAGCCGTTACTAATATGATAAGTTAAAGATGACCACACAATTCTTGAATACTTACCTACAACTTGAAAGCAGCTCTAAGCACCAAACACATCATACGCCCGACATTCGAAAAGATCCCGACAGAGCAGTTTAATAAATAGGCTTGTTGGACGGTCGGGCTCTCCCAAATGTCATGGTTTGTCAATGTCATGCTGCATGCCCAGCTGCTGCAGAAGCCTGGATAGATTGGAAAAAGTGATGTGGCGTGTCTTCCCGTTGGTCCTTATAAGATATACATTACTGGAAATACTGAGAAGAGGAGAGTTGTCGAATCCGGTCATCTTCTGCGAGGATGAAATGAGATCTTTACATCATTGGGCCGATTGGTCCGGTCAGTTCTCATTGCGCTTCTCACTCAATACTCATGCTAATGTCGTATTCAGAGTCTGATCTGACGCACGGCGCACACTCGGCCTGAAGACACCAATCTCGATAAGTATGTGTAGAGGCCTAAATGGACTCCACTCCAGACCCTTTCCTTTCACCCTTCTAATCTAGTCATTTTAGTGAGGCGCGGTCTTCTGCAAAGCCTCACCGAAAAGGCCGCTCAATAGAGTTCTGTTTTCGCTTTGTCCCCGACGCACTATATATCCAGCACCGTAACAGCAATCGACTCAAAAATTTACCCCGACTGTTCTTCTGCCTGCTCTTCAAACCAAAAATGGTTTTCCAGGCTGGACAACCGCTCAAACTCACCGCCGTTCAGCCAACATTCCTTCTCACTATCACCTTCGGAGTCGTGGTCTATGGTTTGGTTTATTCAGCTTGGATGATTCTCCGTTGGTATTCCTTCAGACGCCATTCCGGTATTCCCGAAATCGAGGAATTGGGGAAGGTGCGTCGTTTAAAGCAGGAATTGGATGGGACGGCCATAATATGCGGTGGGAGGTCAGTTCAGATTTTGCTTGTTTCATACTGGAGGGATGCGGCATTCTGATTCCGAATCCCTATCCCCGTACTCTCATACCCGTGGTGATGCATATAGCATCGCCGGCCTCCTCACAGCCCGAGTCTGTGCCGATTTCTTCAAACAGGTTATCATTGTCGAGCCAGAAGAATGGTTAACCAGCGAAGATGGGATGCGTAGGTTTTGCTGGGAGCAGGAACATAAACGCACGCGTGTTATGCAATATACATCACTTCATGGTTCGTGCACTCAGTCTTAATGTCACAACCAAGCCAGGCCACCACTCATATCACCAAAACGGATGACGTCGTCGCTCTCTCATTTAGGTAACCAAGCTCTGTTGTACACCGGTCTTCAAAAGCTTTTTCCCGACTTGGATGAACAATGTCGATATTCAGGTTTAGGGTAAGTGACCGGGAGATTTTAGTCTTTCCTCTCTGTTGCGTGTTGAATGAATGGACCCGTCCTGTTTCTAGCGTGTTTCCAGGAGACAGGAAGAACAACTTCGCTGGGACGCTCATACCAGCTCCGGTTGATTCGTATGGCGGCAATCTGCCGAAAACAATCTATTCTGGGCGGGCAGGTCTTGAAACACTTCTACGGTATGTTTGTTGCATACATCATTTGAACTCTACTCATTCATGCACTCCTCCACTCGTTTGCTTACTCACTGTATGTCATTGTTGCTATGTAACCAGACGGCTGGTTCTTGGTCGAGGCAGTTATCCCAACATCACGCAAATAGCTGGAACGGTTGTTGGAGTTTTGCCGCATTCTAACGGCGACGCTTCTCATATTGGTGGGGTCAAAATTCGAAGACCGGACTTGACGATTGAGGAGCTTGATGCAAGTTTGGTGGTTGGTGCGTTTTATCACGCATCATTTCTTCTTCTGTTGGCCTTACTCGAATATCAACGCTTCATTTTCTATGAATAGATTGCACTGGACCAAATCGCGCTGGTATCAAATGGCTGTCTCAATCAGGCTATGGCACTACCAATGCTAATACTGACAGCAGCAGTAAGGTTGCTCTCCAGAACGCAAAAATCTCGTTTGACCAGAAGCTGCAATATTCTACACTCACATGCAGAGTCACCCCCGAAACCTTGGCGAAACTACCGATTCCCCCAGATCAGACGCCTGACACTGTTACGTTCACGTTATTAGAAGACGGTGTTGAGAATGGACGGAGGGTTCTTGCATTAATACGGGGAGATGGTAATGAAAGTCAGTACCACTTTGTGATTTTGACTTTAATGATGTTCACTTCCTTTTCAAATCACCGTCGCATTAGTTTCGCTCTTCGCCGGTCAATCCAGCGACGAATCTGTCAAATACGGGTCGCTCGATTCGATGCGATCATTGGCGCAGGATTTGAGAACATATCATAAACGCCCAATCCCGGGATGGTTGTACGAAGCTATTGATATCCTGGAGGAGGCTCAACCGAAGATACAGTTTTCCCATGTTCGCATTCGTGAGTACATGATTAGATTTCAAAGTGGTACATACATATACTAATCATTCATCGATATTTCTGCTTTCAGCACCCACCGCCTATGTTCAATATCATCGAACGGTAAACTTGCCGAGTAACTTCGTAGCGTTGGGTGATAGTGTGCTATCTGGTGAGTTCTTTACTTGGAGGTTGTTGATTATTTTCGTGATTCAAATCTTGATTTAAATGTTTAGTGGATCCCATTTATGGGTATTTAAATTTCTTCTTCATGCTCTTCTTCACGTATCTGATTATTCCGTGAATGCCAGCCAAGGATGTACCAAAGCTTTGATAGGCGCAGCTGTGCTGAACAAAGTCCTTTCAAACTCTATCAAGGCACCAGTGACAAACGACAAGCATTTACCGACAAATTTCTCAGAAGAGTTCTTCAAAGAGCATTTTGACAAGACAGATGCATTTTGGTAAGTAATTCACATTTCGAGTCCGAAGATATAATTTGGTCTAAATTTCGGCATTGCTCAGGCAACTCACACATTTACTGGGTATGCTTAGAAATAGGATATGCTCCACAGTCAAAGGACTATTATTAAATCTGCTTGCTAAAAACAGATTATGCGATACCCTGTACCACCCCCTTACCCGGAGAAAACCTGGAAGCAGGCAGTCTGGTGCGTTGGTATCTAAGAAGAGTACAAATTCTCGCTACCAAGGTGAGGAAATTTGAGTGATACACATCGAATTCAGCTTTTAAATGTTATCATTTTCTAGGACGCCCAAGCTGCGCGGGTGTTCTGGGATGGGGCCAATGGATTTGGCTCAGCTGTTGATATTCTTCACCCATGGCTTGTGCTGAAAACTCTTTTTGATACAGTCATTGGAGGATAGAAATGGGTCTAGAAATTTATAGCACTTGACAGATTTTTGATAATTGACAGGACATTTGCTTGATTTTCCTCAGGTTTTATGAGGAGACAGGATGTGTGACTTACATACATACATGGATGAGATTTGGTGGTGACCCTGTCGACTTAGTATATTTTCATGAATATATCTCAACGCCCAACCGCCGTTCTTAACGCCTTCTTAGCTCAGTGGTAGAGCGTTGCACTTGTACTCGGGCCATCTGGGTTCATGCAAAGGTCAGTCGTTCAATCCGGCTAGGAGGCACCGGTACGAAATTAGGTTGGCATTGCTATCCTTTTTTCGAGTGCGGATTTTTGTTTTAGTTGCGGATCATCTCGGTGTAATTACCTGTGTGCACTTATTGTTGCTTGGAATGGGTGATAGGAAAGATTTTGAGAATTCAATAACAGGAAATAAGCTTCCTGAAAACGGTTCTCAGTCATTGCACAACTTGAATGTAGATTGTACACCTTGAATGAATGAATGATCCTGCAGGTACAGTACATGACAGTAATGTCATTGTACATGCGTGTTCAATGCGTTACTCCAGGTTCCTCCTTCAACTTGTTACCCAAATCCAAGCGTCCTCAAGCGCCCATCTAATTTCAGGTACTGTGCGTGATGGTTCCTTGACTGTGACAGGGGTATCACGCTTTCGGCAAACTTTTAGCACGCAAACTGTGACAAGCTGTTTACAGCGAATCAGAACCCGAGCGAAAGGGTTTTTCCCTTGACCGATTCTTCCCTCCTCTCACCATTCACCTTGTTCTCACCCAATCCTCGCTGTTCACAGCGTTCATTACCTTGCTTACAGTTCACACACACTCTCTCCCACTGACGACCCGAATCGGTACAACTTTCTAAACTCCCTTCTCTCTCCGACTATCCGAATCTCTGGGTACGGTTTCTCAGGGCTGGACTCGTCAATTGTGGGTTCTACGTTTTGTTCAGCTGACACCACGTCGATAGATTGCTCTGACAGCAACGATAGGGCTCTGCCAGCTTGAACCCACGATAAGGCTACTCAAACCGACAAACGATTTTGTTTGAAACTCGACTACTACGGCAATCCCAAGCGAAATAAGGATAGGAATCCACTGGGATGACGGCTCGACCAACGACGAGTGCTGGAGGAAGACCAACCACAAGTGCGGGCGGTCAATCGGAATTTAGTGGATTTAGTAATGGATTCGAAGGGCATGGCGACTATCCGTACGACGCTAACGGGCAATACGTTGTCGGGCACAAATACTCACCACAGTATCCAAACCAATATGAAGGAGAATACATGGATGACGATGAAGACGAGGAAGAAGACGTATCAGAAGACGAAGATGTCTTCGCATTCGGCGTTCCAGAAGTAGAAGCACAACCGTCAATGGCGACCTCAACCGCTTTAGCCAATATGGCCGTCTATCCTTCTCCTGTATCCGACGCACCCTATCAGCATCCTCCTTCAACTACACAACAAACAGTTTCCTCACCGCCGTCTTCTCAGCCTCTCTCGTCGGCTGAAGAGTCAGGGTATCGAATGGAGAGACTTAACCTCGGACCGACGACACCTAGTACCCATCATTTATCGTCGAAAGAAGAAGAAGCAAGTATTTTTCCTACACCATCCACCTCGCCTTCCTCCCTCTCCGCCACCCCCTCAATCAAACTCTCCTTCTCTTCCTACCTCTCTACTGCATCCGTCGAAGAAGATTCCCCATTTCCTGAAGTCCGTGCTTCTGTATCCAACATTGATGACCCAGAAATGCCGGCGATGACATTCCGCATGTGGATTGTGGGATTGAGCCTGTGTATGCTCAGCGCTGCGTTGAATGTGTTCTTCAACTTTCGAAGCCCGGCGCCGAGTGTGGTGCCGAATGTGTTATTGTTACTGGGTTATCCGATGGGCAAGGGGTTGAGTTTCTTGTTGCCGATAAGGACGTTCAGGATTCCTCTGCCGAGGTGGCCAGCATGGATGAAGAAGAAGACTGCAGATTCATCATCTGTGGACTTCCCTTCTCCACCTCCGTCGTTCACGTTCTCGCTGAACCCTGGCCCGTGGAACATCAAAGAACATGGCCTAGTCTTCATAATGGGTAACGTAGCCATCTCGTCTCCGTACGCCATCAACGCCATTGTCGTCTCAGAAATTTACTACAAACAAATCTGGGGATACTGGTTCTCTCTCGTCTTGGTCCTCGCTACGCAGTTGACGGGATTCGGGCTTGCGGGTCTGTGTAGGAGGTTTTTAGTATGGCCAGCTAGTATGGTGTGGCCACAGAATTTGGTGGCGTGTACGTTATTGAACACGCTGCATGCCGAAGAAGAGGGCGAGGATCTGGAGGGCGATGAAGAGAGTAGGAGGTGGGAGGCAACTCAGAGCGGACAGCATGGTGTCGACGTCGGGGGCTTACCTTCGTCTTCAGCAATACATGAACCACATAAACCCATCAAACGAAGGAAGTTTGCCTCCGCTGCTCCGATAACCTTCCTATCCAAATTCTCTACATCTCTTAACCCATTTGCTCCTCAAGCTCCCGCTTCATCAAGCGACATCACTAATCTGAACAACCTTTCTACTCTTCCTACCCTACCGACGCTTTCTAACTTCACCGCCTTCTCCTCCACTCAGAAACGTCGTTCCCGCCGACCTATAACACGCTACCGTTTCTTCCTCTACATCACCCTCTTCAACTTTATATTCTTCTTCCTCCCAGGATTTCTTTTTACGGCGCTGAGTATATTCAGCTTTATATGCTGGGCTGTTCCCGAGAATGTGGTGGTCAATCAACTGTTTGGGGTATATTCTGGGATGGGGATGAGTGTGGTCACGGCGGATTGGACACAGGTGAATTCCTTGGTTGAGGTCGGAATGATGAATTGACAACATGCGTTTGCGCGCTCTTCCCATCACAGATCTCATGGATAGGTTCTCCGCTTATGGTCCCCTGGTGGGCCCAAGTCCACATCTTTGGTGGTTTCGTTGCGTTCTTCTGGGTGTTGACGCCGATATTGTACTATACAAATGTGAGTTTTCTTTCATTCCCTTTTCTTACCTTCGGAGTATCTTTGCTCGTCCTTTTCGGTCCTTTTTTGCGATCTTTTTCAAGGGTTTCGTTCGTCGAAAGTTCCTGTTCATGTTTCTTTCTTGAATGTTTTGGTTCTTTTACCTCTCTTCCTTCGTTATTTTCACTTTATGTAATTCGTGGTGACACAGGGTTGGAGATTGAGTCGCAGTCATTTTCCCCGCTTTTGGAGTGAGTAGTGATGGTGAGAGTGAGGGTTAGAGAGTCAACCGCCGTCCTCCTTCGTGGCTTTTCTCGTGGTGTGGCGCGGATTGGAGTCAAGGATAAAGTAGGATCCGGTTGGGATGAAGCAAATGGAGCAAAATTAGGGCCTTTCTCGAATGGGGATTAGGTCAGATCAGGTTAGATAGATTGGATTAGGGTTTGAGCTATGAGGTTGGATGGGGTCGCTGTAGGTGTTCCAATCGGCTGTCGGCGTTGGGTGGTCGGGCTTTGCGGAATCGTCGGTCCTTTGATCCTGGGCGATACAGGTTGATAAGCGTTATTCGCCATCTGACGAATGTGGTTCAACTACCTGTTTTCTGCATTCGAAGGTGCCGAATTGTGGGTGGACACCGCGGTTCATTTTATCAAAGTCGGTTACATCAAGTCGGTTGCATCTTATTTGCGATGCGGTGATGAGCGATCTTGATTTTGATTTTTCCAGGTCTTTATACTTTTTCTTTCTCGCTCGTGTACAAGTTATACACACCTTCGCTTTATCTGAGTTTATCTGACTGTTGTTCGCTCATTTGGGCTTTCGAGCTCGGTTTATCCTCTTTATCATCGCCTTCATCATTTTCATTACCCAATTCTTATCATCCTCGCTATATCTCTCAAAACATTGACCCTCCCATATGCAGTCCTGGGACCTCTCCTACTTCCCCATCTCCGACAACCAGCCATACGACCGCTTTGGGCTCCCATATAACATTACTCGTGTACTCACGAAAGATGATATTTTCAATCAGACGGCGTATGCAGAGTACAGTCCCTTGTATTTGCCTGCGACGTATGCTGTGAGTTAGACCTTTCTTCGTTTTTTCGCTTCGGCTAGAAGCTGGACAATATTGACAACATTCATTCCTTCCTCTCCTCTCCCTAATCAATAGGTCTGTTACCTGATCGCATTCGCCCTCTCCACCTGCGTAATCACCCACACCCTCCTCTACCACGGAAAAGCCCTACTCGCGGGTGTGAAGAGGATTAGAGTTGAGAGTGACGATATCCATGCGAAACTGATGCGAAGTTATCCGGAGGTGCCGGAGTGGTGGTGAGTACACTTCGTGTTAATTTGGGTTCACAGTTCTTGGTTTCTTGTGAGGGGAAAACAATTGTAGTGTAATGGTGAGGATGGGTCTCAGGAGGACGACGTTCGTAGTTTGGGTTTACTAGATGAGCTATTCTATCAAGGAGAGGAGATTAGATCATGATGATGATCCCACTGATGCCTTTTAGTGGGGTTGATAAAGTCTTTCTGCATTACCCTCTTTTGTTCTTTCTTTTCCTTCCTTGTCCTCCTTCTGCCCTCATCCTCACCTTCCTCGCCTTCTCATTCCCAGGTACCTCCTCTCTATCGTGACTTTCTTCAGCCTTGCCATCATCGCAGTTGAAGTCTGGCACGCCGGTGTTCCGATCTGGGCTCTCCTTCTCGCCATCGCGTTACCGGTGATTTATATCTTGCCGAGTGGTTTTATATATGCGATGACTGGGCAGGGGGTGAGTATTACAGACATCGAACTTATTCTCCTAAACTGACCTCGCCATTTCACTTCTCTCGTTCAGATAACCCTCAACATCGTCGCGCAGATCATCCCTGGCACCCTTCTTCCAGGAAACCCAATGGCGAACATGGTGTTCAAAGCCTATTCCGTACAGACTCTCTCCGAAGCAACGAGTTTTGTGCAGGATTTGAAGTTAGGACATTATATGAAGATTCCGCCGAGGGCTACCTTTTTGGGTGAGTTGCGATTCGACAGGTTTTTGTTTCCTCTGGGTCGGATTCGTTGGCACCTTTTCTTATGAGTCTTTTCCCTTACTAATGTTGTTCCTCTCCCGCAGTTCAACTAATATCTACCATCCTCGCCTCTTTTGTACAAGTTGGCATCAAACAGTGGATATTTGCTCACGTACCAGATATATGTCAACCAGGTCAAAAGAGTCAATTGACGTGTCCGCATAATCAGGTGTTCTTCACTGCGAGTGCTG